CAGAAAACACTATCCAGCTGATAAAAAACACCTACTCCCATTTCTCCATGAAGTATTTGTTCCATCCTAGGCCTGAACATTTCGGAGAATCAAACCCTCCCTGTCCGAAAACTAAAACTGCTGAAGGGCAAATTAGTGTGTAAGAAATCAAATCAAACTGGTCTCATGAAATTTATCATTTGTCCAATGCAGTAATAGAAAATTTGTAAGTAGATTACAAAGGTAAAGATATAAAATTAATTGAAATCGTCTGTATTAATTTCCTCTGATTGATATAAGAACCACAGGGACCTTTTGACTTAATTTATTATATAGTCTGGTCAGAATACAAATTTAATGGCAAATATAAGAAGTTCCTTTCATTACCTTAATCTCTCAATTATTCACATCTTCATAACGTTAGATATATATTGATCGATATCAAACAGACAGTATACACGTTTAAAGATATTGCGGTACCATTGCTTCTGTAATCATATAGAGGTAGATGTAGTACCAAATTCCTTCATAGAACGTCATTGAATGGTAATTTTGATAATCAAATAACGAGGATAACGGCACGTTAAAGGAATACTACCTCTTAGAATAGACACAAAATTTAAAGTCTCAAACTTGGTCAATGAGAGTATACATGAATATTCATCTGTTGGACTCGACAGGTGCTGTGCTAAATAATATAATTTAATGGGGTAAAAGAACTCCATAACTTTAGAAACGTTTCTGAAGTTCATATAAGAAAATACCTCGATTTGTCATATGTCGTAAGTATCTGTGATTGACAAGAAAAACAGAATCTCGACCTTAAAAATCTCTCAATTTTGAAGAACCATTTCTATTTCTGTCTGATATTATCTACTGATGTCAAAACCCAACTTTAAGGATATCCTCATTCCCACAAATAGTGTTTGTGTTACTATAGCTACGAACAATAAAAGAGGATGTGATAGGATTAAGAGATGAGACATTTATTCGAGGTAGTTAACAAACCAATATTTCTTTGATTCTATGTTAATCATAGTATTTTCCTACCGCTGTTCTAGACAGTATTTTGATGGCATAATGATTGGCTTGTTATGGCTAGAAATGTGTTGAGATGACACAGACTACGAGAAATAAGAACAGTATTAACATATTCGTTACAATTCTCTTGCTCTCAATTCCTGTTTCAAAGTAATATATCAACCCTTCTGATCTGAATATAACAAACCATTCAACAAGGCAACAAATCTTATTATAATACTGTAAAACATACAATAATACAATATTTTCAGTTAAAATAGTGCTCAATACATCAATTGTAGAGCGAAATAGATTGCTTAGTGTGAAACTCTGAGTAAAAACAACATTTATGTTCTGTTTTAATATTTCTACTGTAAAACATATAACATTTAATTACTTGTCATCTTTATCCTCACATCATACCATCTGATTACGACACAAGAAGGTAGATATCACTCTGTATATCTGTAAAGTATTTTACATATTACTACTACGTTCCATGTCATTTACTTCACTTCATAATGCAACAGATTTCTATCATTTCATGACGACTCCTAACTTTTCATTACATAACAATTATATTACGATACTATATATGATATCACCCATCATGTTCATTACATATTGATTATATTACAGTACTGTATATTATTATTTAATATCATCTCATGACAACCCTTGTTCATAACATATCAATTATAATACAATACTAGATTATATGATAACATCCCCTCCCTCATGAAGACCCGCATGACTGTTCATTACATATTAATTATATCACAATCCTATATACTATAATATCATCTCATGACGACCCAGTTTTGTTCATTACATATCAATTATTACAATATTGTATATTATAATATAATATCATTTCATGACAACCCATGTTCATTAACTATCAATTATACGACAATACCGTATATATACACCATCATCTCAACTCCTCAACCAATATTCTGCAAACAACTTAATGTACATGACTGTTTTCTTTATACAGCCTCTATCCATTGGCATATTGGATGGCCCACTGAGGTTCAATATACATGTAATAGGAACAGCTTGCAGTAGAAGGGATTTTACATGTTTTTTTTTAAAAAACTATTCTAAGTATAATCTTATCATAGAACATGTCACATCAGGATAACGTAAAATCTGCAATTTGGAAAATATTGTCCATATCACTATGCCCCCACAAAAGATTCTTTCAGAGATTAAAAACACAAATATATATAATATACAGCCATTTTTATTGTAAGATCAATTCTGCTTATATTTCTGTCTTTTTAATCTTGTAATACGTAAAATGGAAAGAAAAATTATCTATATATCCATATTTATTCGTAAAAATATTGTCTGCTTTTCAATTCCGACACCCACATAGATACATTTTGTCGTATTGACTTTGATAACTTGACGAAATAAGTGTGGTTTTATAATATAAGATAATTATAAGAGATGAGGAATAGCTACTATTCTCTGATTATTATGGTATATTTTGTTAGGAAAAAAGAACAGCTGTCTGGAAGAGATAATAAGAATCATAAAGCATGTAATAGAAGATGTCTGGTAAAAACTACTTATTTATAATACATTTATTTCATACATGGATGAGTTTCTTCGCGATTTCATATTAACTTAATTCAGACAAACAAATTCTAGACCATAATTTCAAACACGTTTTTAAAGAGAAAATGCCGCGCAACACATTTCTTTTAACGAAACCAGAGAGGAAGAGACTGCAACTTCCTCGGAGACAGTTGCTTTAAACTTTGAACAACACGTTGCAAGCTTTGGAATTTATTCTCTTGAATAGGTCCAGATGCGAAGTACTGCAGCAGGTCTGAAGTTTATAATATGTGAAAGTTCTTACAATCCGAGTAAAGTGAACATGCGAATTTCATTTTCATCATGGTGATTGAGTAAACTGGTGTTATTTCGTCATTAGCCATATAATAATATTTGTTGCTTTGATTTGATCTGGACGATGTTTATGTAATATGGTATCGGATGGTATTTTACATCCTCGGCCTCTTATAAACATTACAACGCAAAAAATACAGTATTGTTCTTGAAACACGTCAATCAAGATTAATCTATAATGTGTTTTGAAACAGAACAGACTTTTCGTCTTATACCAGTTCTTTTCACATTCAGTACTTTTAACTATCAAATTTACCGATTTAAGTAACAAATTACCCATGATTTTAATGAAAACGAATAGAAAAGGCTTTCCATCAAATTTATTTCATTAGATAAAATATCGTTAAAGAAAAGTGCCGTCTCGCTAGAGCCATCTGGAGAGAAATAAAATATATATATATATAACGTCTAGAATAAACAATTTGATTAGGCATTTAATTATAGTCTCAGATTTAACTTGCGGGTGGAATTTTCCCAGACAAACTCCCTACAAAATAATCAATGCTTAATCAGGAGAAACTATAACACACGTCTTATATAAACCCCAATCTTGTAAATATGGAACACTTGCACTTATAATCAAAATAGAAAGAAAAACAGAAACAACTGTATTTTACATGGATAAGTTAGATTCATAGTTTAGGATCCGTTCTATTAGCTGGTCCTTGGTCAAACATCTTCATTTGAGGTCCATGCCCAAATTCTTGTCAGTAGAGAAAGCGGTTCTCCTTTAGAGTCGATTATTGATGATTCCAAAGTATTCGAGCATTACATACCAGAGATGACTGAAAAGTTGTAAGCCTTACCGTGGAAGACCCGTACCAAGTCAATAGTTTTCTTGTATATCTCTACTTAGTCCCCTTCCAAATTTATACACAAATGCCAGCAATGCTGCAAGACCTGGATGCCGGTCAAGAAGAAATTTTAAATCAAGGATTGTTCCCGACATGATTCATTTTCACAACGAAAGCTGCTGTCATCTCCAACTTGGTGTATTTTTTGTATCAGTGCTAACGGTAAAGTGCTAGTAAAGTAGAATTGTCTAAAAATCATAAGACCTATTTTATTATATGTGATGTTTTTTTTTTCTTATTAAGCTTGTGATGCAAAGATCGGCCTACGCAGAGTTTCAGCTTTTTAAAAATTAGACGTTTCATAGAACTCCTATAATCTTAATCTGATTTCTTTTAGGCTTAGAACTTCATGTTTCACAGAAAATAATTAAAGAACATCGTACAATCAAGTAACCTAATTTCGTGGAAACCTATTATTCGTGGATTTCCGGAAAAGATTAATAATTTACATGAGCGACCTTGCGCGACCTCCGCATTAGTTTGACGTGTGACGGAGAAACAATTGGTTTTTATCGGCCGAATTTCCTTATAATCCCAAGCGGTATCGGAATTCCAACTGTCGTATGCTAGAATATATTCCAACGAACGAAGTCACGTGATCAACTAGCGGATTCCGTGTCAGCAGAAAATTTCTATGAAACATAAAGTGGGCCATATTCTTATGTTGTTTCGGTGACTTTTAGCAATAAATCACGCTACGTATCTTATTTTGTCAGTCGCTATTTTTTTTTTAAAATCGTGGTTCTTTGAAGGAATTGTCACTAGTTATAATGAATTGATATTAAAGATAAATACTAAGAGAAGTTAATTATACCACCCGGTATCCATACAACGTGTTTTTCTAAATTTATTTATAGATCAAACATTGTACACGAAAATAGGTGAGGCATTCTGCCACCGCTGCCGAGTTGGTTGCTCCTGAAATATGGGTCAAAGTGAAGGATTCGTAAAGAAAATCGAAATAAACCAATTTTAATTATTTGGTAGAATATCTGAGGAAACCTCTAAGACATAATTTTGTTTTCCTTTCTTTTAACTTTGACGAAATTCGGTGTTGAATATCCTTATATCCACGAAAATAGGTTACACCACTGTAATTTTTCAAAAAAATGAATTCTTATCTGCAATGTACAGTACTTCAGGTCAGGAGACTGTGAGAAATTTTGTCTCGTGACTTTGCTGTGGTCTAAATTTCTATTTATTTACAGAGGGCGCTGAATGAATATGGCGACTGCTACGAGCAGAGTCGATGAACTCATTAAAGATTATTTGTTGTTTCGTGGTTTAACATCGACATTGAAAGCGCTGGAGAATGAATTGAAAACTGAAAAGGAAAAAGGTCTTCGGGTAGATGGTTTTGCTTTTCTTATATTCGCCAGATTTCTCTTAGTACTATGATTTCCATTATCTTCGAATTCAAGGGAGGCAATCCAATTATTTAACAACATTGATTTTAGGAACCAGACCACAACTCGGTGCATATTGAACACTTTCATACTCGAATTGATAGGATTGCAGTTTTACTGCAATGTAGTAATGTATGTATGGTGTGGCCTTTTATAGGGTTATCACTGTATTCAGATACCTATTTTTAATGCATCTCCGGAAATAACTAATAATTCACCTGCGTGACCTCTGAGACCTCCTCATTTGCTTGTTTTGATAAACCTGGGTTATCTCAAAGCAATGTCAAATTTATTATCTCTTTTTAACATATTATGTAATCCTGCACATCAAACCAGGTATGAGGTAGCATTTGGTGTATGTAGAGCAATTAGTACAGTGGTGTAACCTATTTTCGTGCATATAAGGATTTAACACTGAATTACGTCAAAGTTAAAAAGACAGAAATTTTTTTTTATGTCTTACGTTTCCTAAGATATTCTACAAAACAATTAAGATGGGTTTGTTTGATTTTCTTTATGAATCCCTCACTTTGACCCATATTTCATGAGTAACCAACTCGACAACGGTGGCAAAATGCGTCACCTATTTACAATGTTTGATCTATAAATAAGTTGAGAAAAACACCTTGTATAGATACCGGGTGGTATAATTAACTTTCTTAATATTTATCTTTGATACCAATTCATTATAACTAGTGACAATTCCTTGAAAGAACCACGATTTCAAAAAAATAGTGACTGACAAAATAAGATACCGGTATGTAGCTTGATTTATTGCTAAAAGTCATTGAAACAACATAAGAATATGGCCCACATTGTATTCCAAGTTTTTTTCTGGCACGAAATCCGCTAGTTGATCATGTGACTTCATTCATTGCAGATGACACTTGGAATTCCGATTTATAAGGAAATTCAACCGATAAAAAATTGTGACGTTTGGTAATATTATATTTGTCAAAGAATACATTAATATATTTTACTTTGCTTGAAACTACTGGATTCATTCTACAAGCTGACATTAATGTAATAATCCTTTCTGAAAATGCACGAAAAAAAAGGTTGGCATGAAATTGGGTTACTTGACTGTATATTTGGATTCCTGGCATCATCAGCTACATTTTGATACCGTACCAATTCCATCTCAATAGCTTTCTCCGTTCAGAAGATATAGTCAATTTAATATCCAGATTTGGGTCAATTTATGAAAACGTCAGGAATACGACGATAAAGGTAGTATAAAGAGACAAGATGAAAATTTCTGTAGCAACCATTTGACTGGTTACAAATAGAGTTAAACACTTCTAGATACAAAATCATCCAATATTTCAGAATTACAACCCATCCACCATGTTTTCATCCCAACTTTGTAAATTGAACTTTTAAAAATCTCATTACTGGGCAGTGCGACTTATTACCTTATTTTGCAGCCGTTGTCAAGTTGGTTACTCATGAAATATGGATCAAAGTGAAGGATTCATGACGAAAATCAAAATAAACCAATTCTAATAATGTAAATTTAAAGAATATCTGAGGAAACATCTAATACATAAACAACATTTTTCCATTTTTGGATTTTGACGAAATATGGTGTTGAATCTTTATATGCACGAATATAGGTTACACCACTGTATAATGATTCGTTGGCAACACATATTAACATTTTATGAGAACAGGCTAATTTGACTATCATAATCCATGACTAATGTGGTCAACCAATTATAATATTAATGGTGTGCTCTCAGTCAAAATGTGTAGCCTTTTGTTTTCAATAGGCCTACATCCAGATCATATGAACAAAAAATTATATTTGAATTTTATTTTGTATTATTTTTACAGGCTGACAAGATAGTAGAACAGATACAATATTATATTGTTAATAATGATTTGCTTGGTTTACGAGATTACTGGACATTTTTAAACAGCAGGTTATTTTTACGCCTAGAACAACAATATATGTCAAGTGTTCGTAGATTGGAAGTTAATATATTAAAACTATACATTGTAATAGCTTCACAATCAAATAAACCTGAGAAAATTGTTGAGTTCTTTGATAAGATGATTCTTCTTGCAGATTTACAGAATCAACCTGAATTTAGGGAATGGTTTGGTAAGTTGTTATCAGTAAAAGGTTATTACAGATACTTAAATTTCAAATGTACGGTAGTGCTGGCACAACATTTTAATGTATTGGTACATCGTAATATAATATTCAATGATACTCCCATGAAAACTTAAAACCTCCTGATACCCTCCAAGAAGTCCAACAAACTTGTTTTCACATCACATATAATAGTTGTCATTCCTTTCAAAGTTCAAAGTTCCATTTGTGAACGGATGAGTAAAAAATTCTGCATTTATGTCATTCAACATGGGTTAATGTTTTTCTATTATTCTCTTTTCAGCATTTCCTTTTATCAAGAATCCAGAAGAAAATCCGACATTTATGATGTATTTTAATAAACAGTGGCAAGATACATTAATGTTATCATTACATAACTTTCTCAGTGTTATTCTACAGTCAATGCATATCCTTTAGAATTTGTTTATATTTTAAACAAGAGCTTTATGTATTTTGATGATGCCCTCCCAATGGCAAAATTAAGCTATACCAATATATATGCCAAGCAAAATAATGATTTTGCAGAACAATGTGTGTCTTTTACATAGAAAAGTATTTCCTGGCATTGGTAAAATGAAAATTCTTGGTAAAAATATATTTTTTCTTAACCTTGATCACCAGTTCCAACACTTTTGAATTTTGAATATGATCATAAAAGGATGAAATTTTTGCAAGAAGAAAATTCAGTTTTAAAAGAAAGGGTAAGTACCTGACTGGTTAGAAATTTAGTGTTGTTTTGCTTCATGACAAAAAGATGTTACAAAGTTTGGAGATTCTTATATAGATATTTTATACATCTATCATTCAATACATTGATGATAATCTTATATTAATGACAAATCACATATACCTAGCTTATTCCTCCCAACAAGAAATGGCGAAATTTGAAAAATTAATTTTGAAAACCATGAGTTTTCAACAAGAATTTCAAACATGTCAACTTTTGGAGGAACTTTTTCTCATGTTAAGAAATGAAATGGTGAAATTAAGTTTTAAGAGATAAAAAGATGAACTTCTCATATTTTACATCTGAAGTTTCGAAAAACTAGTTTTTATAAACTTACAGATATCAGAGATATCTTTGTTGTTTTCTAATAAATCTTTTTCATGCTATAGTAAAAGATCTGTGGCATGAATTGTATCAAAAATCTATTGAATCCAATGACAGAAGACTGAAGCTATATCAATCCAGTTTTATCTCTGACAAATTGGTTTATTTTCTGTTATTTCAGTTAAGAAATGTGAGTGAATCGGGTAATGTGGATTCAGTGAAAGCAGAACAAGATCCAAAATCACCACATGAATCTTTGACATTGGATTTTTCCAGTTTTTCAGAGTAAGTGTATCATTAGCTCTGAATCTATAAATGACCTAACCGATTTTATCTTTAAACGCTGCATCGGAATTATTTATAACAAATTAACTGGATCGCTTTGTAATTTGTTAATAGTTGTGGAATCTAAATATAATGTGCTATTGTCAAATTGAATTAAAAGCTATGAGTGAGGCCAAATGTTGCAGTGTTCCAGTTTTATGTGGAAATGATGACAATGTTAGGATTTTCGTTGCATGCTTTGGTAAAGGACTGAATGATGTTAGTTTAAGAGAGATCACAAGAGCATGAAAATCATGATTGTTTTTATAGGGAACCTACAAGGTCAAGTTCACCAGATAAACAAAAGACTAACCGACGTCCCCTCTTTAACCTTTCCACTGGTTTACTGAGTAAAAAGAAACCAGAGGTGAATACTGCCACAACTTCTAAACCAGAGATTTCCAAGCCTGTCAAGATTAAACCAAAGCCAGCCATTGTTCCTGTTACAACAACCAAAAAGACCATATCTACCACACCAAGACAAACTTCAGTTGGTAAGTGTCAGCATTTAATGCCAGATTTTCATCTTTTATATTTAGAATGAAAATAGATGTTATTACTTCCAAGTTAAAAAACTTATGATGTTACCATTTTTTGAAGACACTTAAAGATATATATATTGTGTGTAAGAAAATTATGAAATACTTATTTGTTTTTTGTTTGTTTCAGTTCCAAGTACTACAACAGGGGAAATTACCACTCCTGTAAAACAGAGATCACATGCTGATTATGAAAAACAACGTAAAGAATTACTTGGTATTGAAAAAAAGACAACAGTAGAAGTATGTTAGCATTTATGTGTTCCTTTGATTTTTATGTACTGTCCGAGCGGCATACTGCACCACTGAATTGTTTGGTATATTCTTTGAATACAGCAGAAAATGAAACCAAAATTGAAATCAATAGCAAGGAAAAATCAAAGAAGTGGCATAGATGTTATGGTATCAGTATGTTGAAATTCTAACTATGAATGTGAAGTTATAGGTAATTGTACCATCAAAATGACGGAATGCTAACTGAGGCCTCATGGCTCTTTGTAAAAATACAGAGCTGATTTTTTTTACCTTTAACTTTCATTTAAGTTACACATATATTGTAGTTGCCCCAGTCGATCCGCCAATCGGTTCGTCCATTCACATTTACCTCGTGCTCACTCTACAGGCTACAATTCTCTATAGATTTTGATTTTTTTTTTGTGTGTCACTATCATTATGAAGATGTGCACTATTGAATTTGGTGATGATAATTTTACAGTGACATTTATTGAAAAGGATCAACACAATAAACCAAATAAAATTTATGTTAAATTTAACTATGTTAAAGATGGTTTTAGCTTCTAGAAAGCAAACTTGCTGTCTGCCTCCTAATGTAGAACCAGGTAGTTTCAATAGAGATATATGAGAGTACAAGCTAACTGTGATATTGCATCAAACTATGATATATATAGTTTGATTTACAGTTCACATTTATCTCTTTGTCAAGCTGCTGCTGGGCGTATTCACTTGTGAGACTTGCCGCAAGCCTATGCTTATATAATAAGATTTTATTCTAAATTGGTTAAGAAAGATGATAGTCTATTTAGTTTATTTTTATTTTTTTTTTAATAGAGAAATATTGAGCAAGAATCAAAAGGATCACTTCCACCAACGCCAAAAAAAAGTCACACTGCAAGTGATAGTTCTAGTCCAGGGTCAAATAAGTCATTACCTATTGAACTACCCAGACAGGACTCACCTGGTATACCTGGTTAGTATTTATGATGATTATAATAGTATGAGAATGGCTTCTGAACAAAAATAAAGATTAACACTATTTGTAATGTGAAATTTTTGTAATTTGGAATCAGAATTCTTGGGAAAACAATTCACTACTCAAAGAAAAGGATTTTTTTTAGTTATGGTTAAAATTCAAATTTTTTTTTACAGAGGGTGAATGTCCATTCCTACTTTTAAGTCAAGTAAGTTTATTTTTAAGTTTTCGTACCCAAATAACATTAACTGTCAAATTGGATCTGTCCTGTCTGAGAGAAATAATACTGCACTTGTGAAAGTTGAGCTCATACAATATAATGATATGAAGAAACCTATTTGAATGATGTAGATTGTAGTGTGAATTTTCTCTTTACAGGAAGAATATAGTGAACATCATTCCTCTGTATCATATAGCAGGTTTTCACCGTCTGGACAGTATATATCTAGTCTCGATGTAGATGGTATTATCAAGTAAGTTGTACTTAAACATCATTCCTCTGTATCATATAGCAGATTTTCACCGTCTGGACAGTAATATCTAATCTAGATATAGATGGTATCATCAATTAACTTGTACTAAAACATCATTCCTCTGTATACTTTTCACCGTTATATCTAGTATAGATGTAGATGGTATCATCAAGTAAGTTGTACTAAAACATCATTCCTCTGTATTATATAGCAGATTTTCACCTTTATATCTAGTCTTGATGTAGATGGTATCATCAAGTAAGTTGTACTAAAACATCATTCCTCTGTATTATATAGCAGATTTTTACCGTTATATCTAGTATAGATGTAGATGGTATCATCAAGTAAGTTGTACTAAAACATCATTCCTCTGTATCATATGTCCTCTGTGACATTAGCCACTTGTCTGGCGCCTGGGACAAGTAAATTTTCCAGCAGGCAACTGCTTTGCTTTGAGCTACTTGTCCTCCGGTACAGTGTTTATTTTTTGTTGAATGTTACAATAAATGTAGTCAGATCTAGTAGTGAGAGCTACATCGTAAATTGTTTAGTTGTCAGAAATAATAAAACGTTAATTTAACCCTGAAGATCAGCATCTTTTAGTGTAAAATCTGACCTGTCATCATTATTTTTGTCTTTTTCTCACCAGTATATGGGATCTATTAATTAAGGATATAGTCAAGCCAAATCAAAGATATAAATACATTTATTGACAAAAACCTTTCTTCTTTTATAGATTATGGACATGGAGTCCTCAACCAGCCACAATCTATACTGTTATGGCTAGATCAGCTTTTCTATCATTAGAATGGGTGAATAAATCAGATAGATATGTAAGTATTTCCTTTAAAGGGGAACAATCTACAAGGAAATTACAGGTTGAAATAGATCAGATGTCTGAAACATGATCATGAGACTTTGAGAAAAAATAAAATTTATTGTTCTATTTGAAAGTTTTTAAAAGGAAATATACTCAAATGATTAGGCTTCAATAAATGAAGTGAAATGTTTTGTAATTGTATTTTATTTATTGTAGTTATTATTAGGCAATAGAAATTTTAACATAAGATTATTGGATGTAAAAGAAAATAAGACAATAAAGGAAGTAGCTGTCGATACAGTGTATCCAAGGTAAACTGATTTTGAAAAATATAAATTGAAAAAGAAATAATACCAACCTTTTTCACATTATCAATTTCAGCAAACACAAAATCACAAATCAGTTAATCAAAATAAAACTTATATGTGTCACCAACCATCTTGTTTAATTCAAAATGTCATGGATTTTAATGGATGGAAATTTTTATCCTCTGATTGAATTTCTGTCATTCTAGGATATTGAATATTACATCCAACCCTTCTGGTTTGAGTTTTATATGTTCGGCAGCAGGACAGAGAATGAGAAATTTGTCCAGTGAAGTGAACCCAGGAAGTAAGCCAGGCAAATTGATGTTATGGGATGTTAAAACAATGAAGATGGAGGTAAATAGAGTCTTATACATTAGCCTGGTTGCCATTCCGATATTGATATTAGTAAATTGTTCTTTCCATGGTTATCATGTGAGAAATGAAGATATTAAATTTATCTTATCTGAACAATTTCACCTTTATTGTTCATTGCATAGATTATTAAATGGTTCTTTTGGTTTTTTAATATTTTTTTTTCCCCCAATATTTTGAATATGATGCTTTGATCACAATTGATTAAAATCTATGTTCTATTATAGAAACAATTAGTATTAGATCCTAATCCAGTGGCTATCAATTGTTCATCATATAATCATAATGGACAGCTACTAATAACTGGTGGTGCAGATGGGATTGTTAGACTTTTTGGTAAGTTGAGTCTACGCATCTGCTGTATTTATATGGATTGTAAGAAATCTCATTAATAATTGGAGAGCCTGCTGATAAACTCAAAAACCCAGAGAAATTTATGATGGAAAAGATTGGGTAGACATTTGAATTTCAAAGCATTGCACATCATGAGTTGTTACAATTACTTTATATTTCTATGTGATGCTAGTGGAATACCACAGTGTCTATGGATGAAAATTATATTTTTTGAAGTTATCTATTTATCTCTATTTCGTTATATTTATTATATATTATAGATATTCATCAGTGTAAATGTATTTCTCAATGGAATGCTCATGATGGAGAAGTAAACGGTGTAGAATTTAGTTCAGATGAAACATCATGTTATACCTTTGGAGCAGATGGAAAGGTTAGAATTAATTTTGATAATCAAAGTTTTAACTATAATGACCAGACACATTGCAATTCAGAGCAATAATCAATGGATGCAAAGATAATTTGCTGTTAATGAAATAGAGTTGATGTCTTATATTTTAGTTTTTGTAATAACAGTGTGATCTAAATTCTTTACTTTATTACAGTTTTTACAATGGAGTATACATAAACCTGGAAGTAAATTGGAAGAGTTACCAATTCATGCTGGTGCTTCCCTACCATTCCTAGCTACTAGTCCAACTGGTAATAAAGAACTACCAAGAGGAAGTTTATTCTCATTTGATTCTGATGGACGATATATCTTAACTTGTGATAGAAATAAAACTGTTATTTATCAGGTAATTCTATTTTATATAAATATCAGGCTCTTTCAATTAACATAAATTAAATTTCAAAAATAGAATGCCAATTGACTCTTTCTGGTTTTATTTTGAATTTGAATAAATACCAGTATGTCCTTTAACACAACTTTTGACATTAGTTCAGTTGTATGTTATGACACTTTTAAAGCAATGGTTTATCACATTTCACAACAGATGGTTGGAAGTAGAATAAAATGAAATTGAGATTTATATCTCTGAACTACAGATTGGTAAAAACTACAAACTACATGATGTCTGAGTTCTCTGCAGTAATCAATGATGAATTTCTCTTTCAGGCTGATAAGGAATTTGGCTTGAAGAAGACCATGGAGTTAAAGGGACATAAAAGTTCTGTAACAACTGTTGATTGGTCTCCTTCTCTAGATACCAGAGTGGCTCTATCTGGCGCTATGGATGGAAAAATAAAAGTCTCTACTTTACTATCCCAGTGATATAACACATTCCAAATATAATGTATTTATTCCAGTAGAATGTTTAATGGTTATCTATGTTTGTTAAAAGTAACCCAAGAGTTTGGAACATTAAAGGAACCATTCAATTTCTGTTTGATTAAGGTTTTGCAATATGTAATAAAATAAAACCCTTTGTACTAAAAATCCGAACTGCAAAACAAAACCCGAAATCCAAAAGAACATATTGGCTATACATTGGTAGTAGAACTATAGGGAGTATTATTAATCATGAAAGAGTAAGTATTTCATAATGAAAGTGGTATCAGGTGTCTAGAAGAGTAAGCATATGCTGCCAACATTGCTGCGTTATAGATAATATCAATTTGATTTTAAACTCAGTTAAGAATTTGTTTTCTCTTTTTCTTGGATAATGAAAATGCGTACAAGCAACAAAATTCAGTCAATCAAAAATCTAGTCCAAAGGATGCCTAAATCAGGAGTAAAGACAATACCCTGTACTTCCTGGTTTCTTTGAAAATAAAACTTTACAAACTGTGAGTTATGAAATGTTGATTTATTATTGTTAAGTTATATTAGTTATAAGTGCAATATTTTAATGTAAATAAAACAAAAACACAGATAGACTTGTTATATCCTTACCCTTACTTAGATAATGCTAGTCAGCAATCAGTCTTAATGACCCACGGAAACAAAGATATTTCCGTTATGTAAAACATTAGTCCATCAAAATTAATCTTCTAAACTTTGTTATTATAAATATGACAACTAATGTTTTGAAAGCATTTTGTTCATTTCTTTTTTGCCATTGTTTGCCATTTTCGGGAATTGATTTGGGTCTTGAATATATGTGAATCGCATAATCCCTTCAAATAGAAATTACATTTTCTATTTTTGTCTTTTCCATATATGACAGAAAGACGTGTCGTCAATTCAGCTTTCAAACACGGATATGAGTAAAGAGTCAAAATTTCTGATATGCATTGTACATTTTTGATTCACTATTTTTGAATAAAATATCAAAAATAGTTTCAACCAATTTTTGCCTCTGTTATTGGTTTGAAATTAGTGATTGTCTATATTTCCATGTCATTGTGATTTTTTGCGTAAGTTTTTCATATTGGTCTACTCTCGTCCTACTCATATGCCCAAAGAAGTGTATAAGTTACTTATAACATGAACCATTGCTATAATTATTATGATATATTATCTACATATTATTTTGACTTCAGCCAGGACCTAAAGTAGTGAAGCATGTTAAAATATATTTAAGTCAATATAAGTAATGGATTAAACTTCTTCAACGAGATTATCTTACGTTGGTTGCCAATAGCGAGTTATAGTTGACTCTTTTGTTTAAACTTAGTCATATACTAATCAGTACATTAAACAAGCCCTAAGCGGTTTGTATTTGACTTGGTGTCCATATATCTCTACTGTCATCTAAATCACATAGTAAATTAATTGAGTAGGGTTACAAAGTTTAGAACCCTTGTAAGAGAGGACACGACATCCACAGAGATAAGGTCAGTTGTATCGGTTGTATCAAAATCTTACTTTTTCAAAATAATTATTCTATTCGGGGTATGTACCGTGAATTTTTACATGAATTCCCTTCAACCTATTTTCTGTCAGAATACTGTAAAATATATAAAACAAACATTACCAGCTGAGTGGGCTGTACGTAATGGATGTTGGTTTAAAAACATCCTCGAGTATGAAAAGGGTATTTTTGGGTCACCAGCAATGTTTGTTGCGGTAACTTGTGGTGCGGACTAACAGAGCTATAACAGAAATATGTGGGTTGTAATGTGGGAGTAACTGATTGGAACTTCTGCTCAGATAGGTCTAAGGACAAGTATTGTTTAGGAAATATCAATTTGATGTAAATCCCAAAATATGAAATTGTTATATGTTTCAAGCAAAATGTTTTTAATACTAATTATTAAGAGTGAACAGCGAATCAAAACGGTGTTACTTAAGGACCTCATAGATGTTACATACCTATAACGTAAACTATTTTATTTACTTTGGATTAAAGGTTATCAATGTGATAAAAATGGCGTTAACATGCATACCTCTTATGTGACAAGTAAACACAAATTGGATAAACAAAATTTTGACAAAAGTTGGCAAAGTTAAGTTTTCTTTTAAAAAAAATACATTTCCAAATATAATCTCGTTCAGTACTACATGTTTATATTTACAATTCAGTATATTTCATGATGTAGAAGTTTCTGAACGTTATTGAGGTAACGAAGGTCAGATTGTTCCTTGTCTTGTCTTCCTACCTACGAAAGCAACCAGCAGAGACCTCACTGATCAATTAGCATATATCCAATAATCAGAAATCACCAAACGTCTGTTTTCATATGAAAGTTCGATAAAATACAAGTATCTCGACTTATGGAAACAAAAACAATCAGATCATTTTTTTTTTATATATGATTGTCTGTTCTTTATATTTACAGCTATTAAGATTTAACTGTGAAGAAAATGGCAACGACGATACACAAAATAACTTCCCCAAAAACAAAATCAAGTACGAGACCGTCTAAAAGTTTAGATAGTCAAAGAAGTGATTCGTTCAATATTGAACTTTTGGAATATGAATGGCCAGATTTGCCTCCCCTCACACACGTTCGAGATGCAATAACCCGCAATAAGATTAGTCGTGGTATAAGTTATATATTGCCTTTAGATCCTATCAGCAGTAACTTTAAACCAGATTTACGAGCTATGTTTACTCAGACGAATCGAGGAAATAGCGATAAAAGTCTGTTTGAGCACACAAAATCAAGACCAACGTCTAAAACTCGATATTTCAGTAACAGTGTCGACACCAATTGGGCCGATAAAAACATTCGGCTGTGTTCTCCGAAGCTAAACTCCGAATCTGACAAGGTTCGAAAGATGTATGGAAGATCCGCACCATGTCATTCATCAGCTAAAAGAAGGATGGGTTTGGATATGCAGAAATCGCGGCAACATTCGAGTTTACATGTGCAAATAAAAGCCAAGGAACCACCGGAAGCTGTTCAATTGAGAGAGGAAGTTGATCATATCATCAAAACACTCAAGGAAGATGAAGGTGATTTCGACATCGAAAACGAAGCTGTTCACGGAGAAAGTGATTTGTCTAAAGAATTGAAAAACACGCCTTTGGATAGAAAGGAATCTATATTTAAAGAACAAGCCAACTCTCTTTCTGATAAAATAGAAACATTAAGACTAGGACACAAACGGTTTTCTTCTTACCAAACACTAAGAGAGACGGAACCGCCAAAGTTAGTTATACCGAATCCTTTGCGTTCTACTTATCTATCAGATGCATCTAATCAGCATATTTGGGAGTGGCTGCATGATGGTGAACAAATGTCTGATTTTGATTTCTTTTTGTCTGTTTGTGGATGACATGGAGAGTAATAAAAGTGTAATGTCTCTGAAAACTCGATAGATGAATCTTTCTTACAAGGCTCATACAGATATGTTTGCAAAAAGTTTCTTAAGCTTAAGTGAAAACGAATTTGATCCTCGAGTTTTGTGTATGATTGCTACATTTATGTTCAGGGCAAGCCTCTCGAAACTAGGGGACAGCTGTCGATGTTGAGATTCAAAATTCGGCAGCTCTGTCGAAGTGCAAAGTTGCAAACCTCCCACAGAGCGTCTGAAAGAGTTCTCCCCAAGACAATGTTTTAAAAAATTGATAAGGTGCATTTATCGAAGCACCCTTGTTCCACATTTCTATAACAAACAAATAAACATAATTTACCCACATTAAAATATCAGAGAGATTTTAACCATTCCTTTAAGATGAGATTCTTTGTGAATCGTATCACGGATATAATCTTAATTGTAATCTCGAGTAATTTATGAAATACTACGACAGTCATTTCCCTCATGAACGTATCAAGTAGAAACGGCAAATTTTGTTGAACGTGAAACACGTAATGACCGAAATTAACACACTTGATTTGTTGGCCTACCATGCACTGAAAAAAGAAAGATTAAAAATACATTGTCATTATATCAACAACATTTTGGTGAATGTCTTGACTATCCATTCTACTAAAAATTACCACCTTCCTTTGTTTAGCCGATGTCTATAACATACGAAATCATGGAACGATTTGAAATATTCACCTAACTATATTCCTGTTACTTATAATGTATTCTATATTTGCTATTTATTCCCACGTACTATAACAAGTTTGGTAATGGATGTCTTGTGTCATAACGATAATATGATTACAGAGATTTTAAGTCATTAGCTTTCATAACAAGACTCCATAAAACAGTACTGAGTAGTTAGCAACTCGAGTATTTATAGAATATAAAACCCATTTTTGGGAAAGATCTTAATATTTAATATGAGTTATATGATTATCAACCTGAAAAGGAATTAACAACTTCAATATTGGCTATCACCCTTATCTTTCGAAACAAGTTCTTTTTCGTATCAATGTTTAAAACACAGTTCTTGATGTATGTTGACAAAACTTGAAATCGTATGATGAACCCATGAAGGTTTATTTAATATACATTACCGATCATGTTCCTCAAAGCGCATCTGCATTCAAGGCAACTTCCTAAAGGATTTGGACGAAACTTAGTAAAATTATGAACTAACACCTATGGAAGTGCCCGACTGAAAACTAATCATGTTCCGAAAGAAATGTATGACTAAATTTGAATTTTTGAATGTTGTCATTCGGCAAAATGTTCCAAATTAGACGAAGCTATCAATGGTCAAATGTACGTACATGTATATGACCATTTATACAGTAAACATATTTTCAGACATCCGCTTTATACAATATAGTTTGTGTGAAGAAATCTGTAGACCACGGTCCTTTCACAATAATTTGGAACAATAAATCCCCCCTGGATGTCATATTCCAATAGCATTTGGTTGTAACAAACTGCCGTTAAACTGGTCTGGCAACCCATGCGTTTAATAACATACACGTCAAATATAAATTGATCTTGTCGCCTCGATAAATTTAATCAGTTTTTAAGGTGATGGGCAATCATTTAATTACTGACTATGTCATTCATGTCGCTTCCTAGCCATTTTAAACAGAGACTTGAAGAAAGTGAGTTCAGGATAGAATTAACAATAAGGTAAGAATCGTAGCGAAATTTTAAAGTTTCATCGAATATATGAGCTTCCATATTAAAAATAACATGTGTTCATGGTCGTACTGGTCTATGTTTTTGCTTGAGGCAAAAATCATGTTTGAAATTTTTTGTGAAACTCTGGCCTAAATGATGCTTAATATTCGAATAGATCTTTTTCCTGCAGTAGAAATACAATTTTTATAATTTGTTCAAAAAATTGGACATCAAAAAAGCAAAATTTTTAGCGGATATCATGTTTAATTTTTGATCTTTCCATTTCTTTCTAAGTTTAGTCTTAATGATAGGATGAATTTGCCTATATACAGTTTCGGCGCTGATATTGTTATCCTAATTGTCTTCTAATTAAATGTGAAGAAATACTTCGACGAACTTCCATTAAGCAAACATCTACAGAATGACAAATTACAAAATCATAATCTAAATAAATGCTTTCAAATAGAAAAGACAAAAAGAAGAACATTAAAAACATGCTGTAAAAATAAGGCAAGATCCAAGATCTGTTAAATGCAAATTATTATTCGAAACACGTCATCACAATATAAAATAATGTTAAAGTTTTGTTGAAGTTTTGGACTGTACGAATTGGTTTTAATAATATGGAAACTACCAGCTTATTTCATTTATCGAGTATGGTGAAAGAGTCAGATAAATTGGTGTTAGCGATTGTTTTCTTCACCAATATGTTGGATAATCTACTGCTTACAGTTGTAGGTAGGTTCATAACATTTCATTTACCATCTTATCATTTTCTTCATATTGCTCTATATTTCTCATCTGCATTTTGAATTGATCCTTGGGCGTCCGTACTATTTGAAAATTATAAAGCCAAAAAACATGCAAAACTGAGCTTAACAAAACACGTACAGACTTGGACTTGGACTTTGTTTTAGATTTGCTCATAATTCAGCCACAGTTGGCCTATGTATATATTATATGCTGGTTTAACAATACCCTGGGCCAGAAAAGACGAAGGTGTCATTTGATTGAATAAAGAACAAATTTACCAAAATTTTTACCTAAACCTTTTCGAAACGTTTTTCTTTGATTTGTGTTCGAAAATATATATTACAAATTAAAACCAAAACCTAGGTGAAAATTAATCTTTTTAATTCAAAATTAAAAGTGAAGTATGTCGTATGTGAGCTATCGTAAATTTCTCTAATTTTTTTATATTCGTATAAGCTTATAATATATCATTATTTGGGTAGATTAAGTTAAAGATATTGCTCACGATGTTATGGATACAGTCTGTATTTTCAAAATCAAAATGTATTTCATTTTCTCTGGAAATAAAATACGTTGATAATGGTGTTATTTCAATTTATTACAAAGTGGTGCAGGATGCGTGGAACGTTAAAGGTACGATTGCCATATTTGGCCAATCTTACCTTAGTTTCAGTATCGGGAATTCTATTTAGCTAAGCCAATCAGTAATAGTGTTCACAGCTCGCCATCGAAATTTGAGCCTTCAAATCTATGTCCAGATCTTTTCGTGATTGAATGTTTAAATGACGACTCGTCAATTTAAGATACTCTGTGACATATAGAAAAGACATATAGAAATAGTGAGTAAAATTCCTGGTTTGAAGTATTTTTAAAGAAATTATGCGATTTTCTTTCATTTCTAGAACTAATGCTTTGAGTAGTAAAATGTTCTCTTGATTAAATAAATCGCTAATTACTATTTTTTCAGTTCCAATAATTCCCGATTATCTCCTAGGAATTGATAATGCTAACTGGGAATATGGGAATCGAACAGTTCTAACGAACCAATCAAATTTGATTATGTCCTCAAAGAACCAATCGGAAGAAACTATCACTCAGAGAATATTTCTATTATCGGCTAATATTATGAACGAGAATAGTAAAGTGGGTTGGTTATTATCATCTAAAGCTATTGTCCAACTTATAGCCAATCCTTTTATAAGCCCACTTGCTGGAAGGTAAATTCTCAGTTTTAATTCTGTTCGCCACATTTCTTAATGCAGCCTTATATACATTATATATACAATGTAGAGCAAAAATAAATTATGGGTATCTAATATATCCGATTTTCAAGTTTTTATTTTCACTTCCGACTTCCGACTTCCAAGTTTTTTTTCACTTTATATTGATGAGACCTTGGACAAGTTCGATATTTACAATTTTTCAATGAACGGTTTTTTGAGTTATTGCCCTTGACTTAGCCAAAACGCGTCTAAGTTGGCTTTTGAGCGCGATAGAGACTACAGTTTTCATCTGATTCGAATGAAATTTGGTGTGATCATTTATATTAATGAGATCTTGGACAAGTTCGATATTCACAATTTTTCGATGAACAGTTTTTGAGTTATTGCCCTTGACTTAGCCTAAACGAATTGAAATTGGATTGTGAACGCAATAGAGACTACAGTTTTCATCTGATTCGAATGAAATTTGGTGTGATCATTTATATATTGATGAGATTTTGGATAAGTTCGATATTCATGATGTTTCGTTGGACAGTTTTTATACGCCCACATATAATGTGGTCGTATATTGTCGTCACCTCTGTCCGTCCGTCGGTCCATAATTGGCTTGTTATCTGATTTTAATGAAATTTGGTGTGATCATTTATATTAATGAATTCTTGGACAAGTTCAAATTTGATGATCTTTCGATGACCGGAATTCGAGTTTTTGCCCTTGACTTAGTAAAAACGCATCAAAATTCGTTAGCTTGTTAATGCGATAGTTTATGTCCGAATTTCATTGAATATTGTGTGTTTATATCAACAATATCTTGAACAATTGAGATTTTTGGTATGATTTGACACAGATTGGTGACCACCCTTGATATACTGAAAATGTATCAGGAAAGTGGGCATATCTTGCTAGACAACGACTTGTTGTGTCAAGTAACCTGTTTCGGTAATTTCACGGTTAATATTCGACTTCTTGCCAGAAAGCCCTTATAAAGAGAACAAGCCCTAGCATAGCGGACTAGTTGTGAAACTCTGTTATCCTCTGTTGAATCATACCTTAATTTGAACGTGCCTAAGGACTCTTAGGTATAAATTAAACCAAATTTTATTGAGATCAGATGACAACTATCGCGTTAACAAGCCACATTGGACATGATCACAAAAGCGTAGACTTAATTACCAGCTCGCTGGAGGAAAAACTTGGAAGTCCGAAGTAAAAAGTTGGAAATCGGAAGTCGGAAGTGAAAAAAAACTTGGAAGTCGGAAGTAGGAAGTGAAAAAAAAAACTTGGAAGTCGGAAGTTGGAAGTCCTGACCCGGCTTTCGTACCTTTGTAATGATGCCACAGGGTCAAATAAGATACAGATGAGAAGCATTGGATATTTATACAAGTTACATCGAAGCATGCCAATAGGAGCGAAAATATGAATACACTTGCATATTAAATCCTGATTATTCTGTTGTAAAATTGGAAGATTATATATATTATTGGTTTGTCAATCTATTATTTAATTGATTGTGAAGAAACATTTCTGTAGTATTGTCGTTATTAAATTAATGACAAGAGTATCAAGGTTTAAGATGTGACTCAAAAAAGTAAAGAATTTTAGATAAACTGAAATTAAGAACCCTTTCACGTGGCTTGTTACACAAAACATATTATTATCAAACTAAATCGCATATATCTGTCCATTTAATAAAACATTTTCATGTGTCGTAACTCGTAAAGTGAAATGGGAATAAGGAATAATAGTTGTTCATTATTTTAACAGGTTTGGTTACCAATGTTTATTGTTTGCTGGCACTACCATCATCTTAGTTTCAACATTAGGTATTGTTTTTTTAATGTTCTTTTTAACTTTCTTACTATATATTGAATATATACAATATATAATGTAATGGTATATGTCTTTGATAATCTACAAAAGTTGTTAATGCAACAAAACAGACTTGTTCCTGAATATTTTTAACTCACAGTTAAGACGACATTGTAACTATGTAACGTTTTTAAACTTTCAGTGTTCGCCTTTTCAGTGTATTATATACCATTGTTTATAGCTAGATCTGTACAAGGTCTGGGATCTGCTGCATTAGCTATAGGAGGTGAGTGCCGTAATATATTTCCGCAGAAAAATACTATTAATATCATGTTAGATTCATCATAGGGCATAAGACTAGACCGTGTTACTTATAATTGTGATGCGAGGTTGATTCTTCAACAGCTTCGATCTCCTGACATTAGCCCATCAGCGATATACATCTGGTAATCTTTTCATACTTAGTCAGTCCTTCGCGTATATTGGAAGCTAAACCCCTACTTCCAACATTAGCCACCCGGATGATGATTTTGTATCCGAATAAAAAATTAAGTAGCCAATAACATTATTCTATATCTATACAGGAATGAGTATAGTTGCTGAACGTTACCCAGACGATAAACAGAGAAGTAAAGCTATGGGGGTGGCTATGGGAGGTTCTGCTACGGGAATTTTAGGTAAAAATATCATTTCCACCCATTTGTCAGACAGTTGTTGAAATAATTCTAGAGTATTTGAGATGCTTGCAATGTTTTATTTTTATTTCAAATTACAGTCATGACATAGAATTGCAATAATATGACCCAATTTAAATTTACCAGGTTAAGACCACCATGACAGAACTTTTAGTAACAATAAATAGATATTGATAATTCATTACTAAGCTTCAAACATTTCAATCTGCCCAAGTCTTGAAAACTTTGGCAATACAGAAGAATTTAGGTAATTAGTCACAGGAAATTCGGTCACCGGAAATTTGGTCACAGTATAAAGGTTACACGGAAATTTGGTCACAGTAAAAATATCACACGGTAATTTGGCCACAGTAATACGGTCACATGGTTATTTGGTTACAGTAAAAAGGTCACACGGTAATTTGGTCACAGTAATACAGTCACAGGGTAATTCGCCACAATAATAAGGTCACAAAGAAGCCCCATGTGCGAATATTACTGGATAGAGGACGATTAAACACGACGATATGACTGTTAAGGTCATCCATGGTCAAGCCCGCCGAAGTTGCAAAAGTGACAGTTTCAAAACTCTATCCCCTCCACCATTTATTCAGTTAGTCCGAATGGTATTGGTGTTTCGTGGACTACGAACCAATGGCTAAAGCGTTTTTTTTTTCAATTTCACTTTGGGTTTCGATTTATCGGTCCTATCGAGCGCTTTGACGTTACGTTCCTAAGTCCGGCAATAAGTCCTGGGAAGTCGAAGAAGCGATCGGGTGGTATTGTTGGACAGAGCAATTAGTCCTCCACAACGTGGACGTAGAATTTTGTGAAAGAGTCCCCATGGGGACGAAGAGACTATCACGACGAGGTCATCGGAGGTCAAGGTCAAATTACCGTGTGACCAAATTATCGTGTCACCTTTTTACTGTGACCAAATGTCCGGTGACCGAATTACCGCCCCATACAGATTTCTTAGTATTACCATTTTTCAAATTAAAAAATTTTACTTTTACTTGATTATTGCTATTAGTGTTCACTCGTGGTTCGTGTTGCCTTTTTTACAGAATAAAATGTTTCAAACCATGGCCTTTCATCCATTTCAGTTGGTTACCCTTTCGGTGGTTTTATGTACACATTTGTTGGTAAAGTTGCACCATTCTGCATCATAGCTGTATTTATCGCCCTTGATTTAGGTAAGCTTGACATTCAAATTTTATGAAATTATACTGGGGATTATCTTTACAAGATGATCCGCCGTTGTTATCAAATTGTCTACTTGGATATGAAATGCAGATTTCATTTCTTTCCATGATAATCTTGGTGTTTTCTTGTTTCAGCTTGTCAGTGGTTGATACTCAAGCCCTACATTTTCCATCGGGTAAGGTTGAATACTCTACACAGGGGTCAAATTTCTTTGTTAAAATACAATATGTTATTAATGGTTAACAACCAAGATACAAATTAATGGAAACGTATAACGTAATGTTTGATTATAATTATACATTCTAGTAACCTAATTTCGTGGCCTAAGCATTTACATGTTTTCATGGGGTTTTTTTTCTACAAAGTCAACCTGCAGAATTTTTCCTATCGTTTCAAAGTAAAGACATATTTATTTTCTTTTTTTTAACATATGCAAAATGGCGGATTTCAGTTATTACCAAATATCAGAATTTTTTATCAGCCAATTTAGGATATAATCACAAGCTTTAATTATTCCACTGAACAAAGTCACGTGAAAAACTAGCGGATACCATGTTAGCAGAAAATGTGGGCCATATTCTTATGTTGTTTCAATGACTTTTAGCAATAAATTACTTTTTAAATTTTTTTTAAAATCATTGTTCTTTGAAGAAATTGTCATTAGTTATAATGAAAAATTATTAACGTTACAGACAAATGATAATTATACCACTGGGTATCAACCGTGTTTTTCTCGCCTTATTATAAATCAACATTAAATAGGTGACGCATTTTGCAGCCGTTGTCGAGTTGGTTACTCATGAAATATAGGTCAAGGTGAGGGAAATCGAAAATAAAAAAAATCGAAGCAAACTAATTTTAATCAATTTTTAGAATATCTGAAGAAACATCTAAAAATGTTCGTTTATTAATTTTGGCGAAATTCGGTGTTGAATTCTTATATTCACGAATAAAGGTTACACCACTGTATATAATATATGGGGCCTATCCCTTTCCATACATCAGTAATGTTCCCTTATAAAACTATTATTATTGCTTTCTTTAATCTACAGAGAGAAAAAAAAACAACATCTTTATTAAAGTTATTACAAGATCCATATATTTTGGTAATATCAGGTAAAATTATTACTAACTATAAAATCGTACCAAAAATATCGTTTATTTCGGCGTTTCTGCTATTAGAAATCATAAGCTATTTTCTCTATAACCACGCTTCTTGTATGCGGTATCTCGTGTGCATCTCCCCATTTAAATATGCATGTTTAAAATTTTTTAAACTTGAACTGATATTAGCTATTTCTACTTTGATATTATTTTTAGGATCCATAATGCTCACGTCAATGGCCATGGCGGTTATTGAACCAACCGTGCCGTTATGGATTATGCAGACAATGAATGCTGAAAAATGGCAAATAGGTGACTATATAATATATTTTTAATGGAAAAAGAGTACTATGAAGAATTGAATATAATTTGAATTCCTGAACAAAACGTGTAACACTTCTTTTTTCCCCGAAATCTCTCGACCCCATTACCAGAAAATATGTCCACTTCTATCGTTTGGCTAGTTCCATGTGCACTGAACTTCTTAAAGTTACCTGTATGCTAGACCAAATAATTGAGGCATCTTAAATCATTACCTTACATTACCAATACTATAAGTGTTAGATGGTGATGAGAAAACTGGCTTACAAATGCAGTGATGATAAAATACAGCGTTATTTAAATTATAAGAAATAGTTATAAATGACTGTATAGATCTAGCTAATAATAAAAGGATGGTAGGATTTCTTTTAGCAATTGATTTTAGGAGAGCCTTTGATAGTATCAATCATAACTGTATGAAAATGTATAAAATTCGTGAAAATTTAATGCGCTGCGCTTTTATACCCCTGTCTGTCCGTCGGTCCGTCCGTCAACATTTGCTTGTATACGCTCTAAAAACTAGAGTTTTTGATGGTATCAAATGAAATTCGGTATGTGTATACATATTCATAAAACGAAGATCAAGTTCGAATTTGAGCTTTTTTCGACCGTTAGAAGCAGAGTTATTGCTCTTGCCCCAAAATCTGGAATATGCTATTACTCTCTTAGTTTTCAACCGATTTTGATGAAACTTAAAATGGATGTTATTGGACCTAAATCGAAACGTTTGAGAAATTTTAGTTTACTTCTGATTAAATTTAAGGCTTTTTCAAGATTTAAGCCTCTTACGTCAACTTTAAGGAGTTATCGCCCTTTAACCTCTATACATTAAGTGCTTCCATCAACATCAATTGCTCGTAAACACTCTGTCCGTCGGTCCGTCTGCCCGTCAAAATTTGCTTGTAAACGCTCTAAAAACTAGATTTTTTGATGGAATCAAATGAAATTCGGCATGTGTAGACATGTTCATAAAACGAAGATCAAGTTCGAATTTGAGCTATTTTCGACCGTAAGAAGCAGAGTTATATCCCTTGGCCCAAAATCTTGAATATTTACCATCTGCATGCCGCGGTGGGCGTATATGGCTGTGGTTATGTTTAAGTTGTCTTAGGTAAATTAAATGAAATTTTATACACAAGTGAAATTAAAATTAGATAATATTCAGAATATTTTCATAGTGAACAAAACGAAATTTAAAACCAATCCACAGTGGCTCTTTGCAAACCACTTAATTTATTGGACAAAATGTTATATTTACAAATGTAAACTCTTAAATATTAACCCTAGTAAATTCGACCTTTGTAGATATTTGAATAAATAAAGAATTTAGAATTAAACAAATATCCTATTTCAAAAATTTACAATGAAAAAATGGAAAGATTTACAAGCTTTTTAAAGACCCCTCTTACTGTCACAAATACCTATAAACAACGTGTCATGTATTTTATAGATGTATGAGATCTGTAGTTAAATTTGTTGGATGTAGGATTGAAACCCTACCTTTATATATTATGTTCTGTATGATAATGTAAAATGTTTAATATGTATGTTTAAAATAAAGAATATATGAGCCCAAAAAAGAACAATTATGAGAAAGTTAGAAATCTCAATAATGAATGACTAACCTTTAAGTAGGATCATTTCTTTGGGGAAATTGCTGAAAATACCAAAATCATACTTGTATTTAAAAAAAATAAACATTATTATGATTGTATTTTAGGGCTAGTTTTTTTACCCGATAGTATTGGGTACCTCATTGGTACTAATTTCTTTGGTGTTACTGCCAGGAACATAGGACGGTGAGTAGAAATTTGTACCTTGTGCTTTGTTTTGTTGGAATTTTCATAAAATCTGTTCGATAGGTAGTCTAACCAACTATCTTAAATTTACCACTTTACGAACTCGTCTCGAAGTGTAGACGTGCGAATAAGTTCTACCTGTCCAACTTTATTAGGGACAGTTGTCTGAAGATCGTATAGCATGAAACTCGGTTCTGTTTTGATATAGATATTACAATTGATGTATCTATTTTAACAGTGGAAATATCCTGTTGTAAATATATTTTTTAGGTGGATAACAACTATTGTATGTATGGTTATGATTAGTTTATGCTTAATTTGTGTAAGTTTGAATTATAATATTCTTTGGTTAGGTTGGCTCTACATACCTACTGCTGGTGATTGATATCCCCAAACTTGAATTTCGCCTTAAATTGTATTTAGTTAAAATTCCTTAAGAAAACCTGAAGTACCTCTAAGATCATTGCATTTAATGTGTGGCAGGAAAATGTTGCTTTGAAGTGAATGAGGTCAGGTATAAGTAAAATGTGTCGATTTAGAAACTGAATTATATTTCTTTGAGAAAACAAGTGAGTGGTCAGAGAATTACTCAATTTCCACAGTAAAGCTGACAAGCATAATTTTGTTTACTTATCAACGAAGTTCTCATTTAAAACCATTTTTATTCTAGTTGCCGTTTGCAACGGAGCTAACACAATTATTACTGCCACACCTAGGTCTAGGATTGGGTTTAGGTAAGAAATATATTGTTATCATCCATAAACCTCTGCAAACCTATTGTGTTAGTAATTTGTTATTTGTTACAATATTTTGTACTTAATCAACATCAGACAAATGTTTGGGAACACCGATATAGTTTCCTTGTAGTTTTGATTATTTTGTTGATAGGTGCTACAGATGCTGCATTGATGCCAATGTTAGCTTTACTAGTTGATACGAGACATGATGCTTTTTATGGGAGTGTGTATGCTATAGCGCAGTTATCAGTTTGTTTGGCATATTCTGTTGGTAAGTATATAACATGAAACCTACATTATTACAGCCCCAAATGAAGCGTGTAGTTACCAAGCACGCTTGACGGACGGACAGACTTCTAGCATCTTCGTCGTTCGGCAAAAATAAACGAAATGTTAAATTTTACTTGAGGACTTTGAATTTATTGTTTTATTTTTCTTTTCTTTATATTCATTATTTGAGAATTTTTATCAATTATTCATATCACTTTATAGGTCCTTCTGTGGCAGGTCAGTTGGTAAAGATAGTGGGATTTCCATGGTAAGTAGCTGTTTCCCCAAAAATCTGAAAGATTAAATTAACAAGGAAAACTTCGCAAGTGGGTCAAAAGGATGATAACATCGATGTTAACAATGGTCAGCATTGACTCACTTTTATTTGGTAACGAATCTTGGTTTCATTTCAAAATACCATTCCTATGGCAACGATCTTTCTAAATACTCTGTAGATGTTTGAATTTCCAATTTGAAAATGAATTATTTCTTATGCCTCGGTCGGGCAAAGCTCTTAAGAATCGTTCGTACCCTTTACACCCATATCAATATTTATTAAAGATTTACACAAATTACATAAATTTCATTGAATTTATGGACTCTATTTCAGGTTATATGAAAATGAAATGAATGGAGTTTTACGTCCTCTTTCTATTTCAGGTTAATACGTGGTCTTGGTATTATAAGTATACTGTATACACCTTTATGTATTTTACTAAGAAAAGTACCAATTCCTTCAGAGAATACGGTTTGTACTTCTGTAATTGTAGATCGGACGTCATAATCTGAAAATTGCACCTACTAAAAAATAACCTACTTCTCTGCACTTTATGAAGACGGGCACTTACAACAGAGACAGCTATCAGAAAACATTGCAAAGCTATATAGTTTTATCAACAAAATTAAACAGAAATCCTCAAAAAAATTGTGACACTTTTACATACATTGTAATGTCATCATTATTTTACTTTGTTTTCTGTAAGTGATCGAATATTTTGTTGTTGTTATAGATGATATTGTCAGGCGATAATCAACACAATGATAAACACGAATTAGATGATGCTGATGATGGTTCATTTTCTTATGGAAGGTTACATGAAGAAGATTAAGGAAACAATTTGGGCGCTTTGAAAATGTTAATGTCTATTGTTTACAGCCAATTTCAAGATAACCGTTGTTGTTGTTATCCAAGTGGTCGTCTTCTGTCATGGTCCACTATCTCTTAGTAATAAGGAAATCAAAGATGACCTATAGACATAAATAGGATTTCCGGTTTCAGAGAACTATAAACATTGAAAGTATTTTATATATAACTTTATTGTTATCTTATCACTTCCTAAATCTAATATTCACTAGGATCTATTAATGCTATTTTGAAACGTTCCGGATATTGCTCATATTCATTTAATTTCTATGTGGTTGCATATTTGTGTGAGAAACATTCCTATTCAATACAATTAGTGATACATTTCGTCACCTAGGTCCTATGCACACCGTGTTGCTGATCCGGGAGACATAACCATAGACTCTCCAGCCTCGTGGTATGTTCGGCGAATTATATTTTCCGCGAACAAACCACGAGTCCTATATCCAAAGCATCAAAAATTTGACGCCCAATAGACGGTGAAGCATATTTGGTATTTTTGCAAATAAACGGCGAACAATCAAGTCTAACTCAAGGGCCTGCATCCAATAAATCAACGGCATTGATAAATGACTGCATGCTGTATTTGCATTCACCATCTTCGATGTCTAATAAAATGGGGCTAAACCAGAGATATACCAGATGATAACTACATACAGATCGCATTTTGTCAGTGTGACCCAGGCAAATATTAAATAAGATTCGATATCCAGTCTACCTTATAATAATTTTGGGTTTGCGTTAGTGGACTGCCCTATTAATTATCCGAGTCATGGTCATGATTGTAAGTATAAAAAAAATCTATGACAAATTTAAAACATCGATTTATTTGACTTTGTTCAGGAAAAAAAACCAAGTTTGTAAGGTCCTTATATGTACATAAAATTTATTTTATTACTGATCAGCCAATAAGAGTCGAGCGATCATATAATTTGAATACAAGTGGTTTCAAGTGGACCTATGAAATTGTAATGTTTATAAATCTCCGGAAATGATGGTTGCTGTATAAAAACCATTACGGGCATTCGTTTGGCATGATTTGAGATCAGCTGCTGTACTAAGTAAAATACAGTAAATATGTAAGTAATTATATAATACAATCTTTTTTATTTAATTATGAGATAATTACAGTGCACGATTTTACTTTACACTAACATTGGGCATAGAAAAGCTTTAAGATCATTTTAAAACCATTCAATATTCAAAAGCCTAAACAAAGTAACTGCGTATATTTACCCTCACACACTATATAATTTGGCAGCTCGCCTTGAAATGAATGCATTTTATTTATTCAGTTTTGTCAAAGTCAATCGATTTTACACCGTTGAAACTGCAGAACTTAAAACGTTTTAGCTGATTAAAGAAAGGATAATCCATAGCTCAAAGCTTTTACTTTTGTAAGGTCTGAATGGCAGCCATCTTTATAAGCTCAGTCAATGAAATATCCCAATCTTAAATGATGATGTAAATTGCAAATGATGAACATTGTTTGTATGATTTATAAAAAGTGTTCAGATTTACAAAATCGTTAAATTTTTTTACGGGACTGGATTGATGATCCACACAATTTATCGTCAACATTTAGAATTTCGGAGCATAAATAAAAACATTAAATTATTTAGAACAGATATTTTACTTCTTTATTATTGTAGAAAATGAGTTATGAAGCTATATACGACTACACACCACTAAACCAAGGAGACATTGCTGTCAGAGTTGGTGATAAAATACATCATATAAAAGATGTTGGATGTGGCTGGGTGATAGGTAACAATATCACGACTGGTGAAACAGGTCATTTCCCAGCAGAATATGTCAAGGCAGTAACATCTTGGCGCAAATCATTTTCTATAATAAGATCTGTGAAACAAAGGAATACTGATCCTGAAAATAAACAGACCAAGAATGAATCCAAAATAAATAACCATTCCATGATCAAAAATAATATTTCTTTCAATAAGAAAGATGAAACTCTTGGAGAAATAAAAATATCCGATAATCTGAAATCTATGAATTCAGAATCTCGACCGATGAAAAGATGGAGAAAGAAACTATTGAAATATTCTGATGGTAAAAACAGTCGATTTAAAGCATTATTTGGAGTTCTTGCTGGTATTGTATTAGGTGCTGCTATCTTTCTGGCTATGTACTATAGTTTCCATTATGATATATTGGTATCATCTATTATAACAGGCGTATCAACCATTCTACTAGCTATAGGTCTTGCAATATCTACAAGATGCAGATGTATTGTGTTGCTGGTATTTCCTAGTCTAGCTACTGGCAAAGGTAGAGCAGCTTTCTTGTCTATTATAACTGGCTTGTTATTAATGGGACCTATTACTAATATTACCAATAACTCGAGCCAAGTTGCTATCAGTATGGCTTGTATAACAGAATTAGCTTATAATCAAAGTCAAGCCCTGCAGGATAGACTACAAGAACCAGTCAGATCATTACGGGAACAGATCCAGAGAGGAGTCGATGAAGTCAAAAAATTAAGTGAACAACTGGATAAAGCTTTTAAGGTATTGGAGGATGGCATTGACAAAGCAGAGAGGGCAGTCAGTGGTGCCCTCGACACATTGAAGGATTTCAAAAACGTAAGTTAAAATATATCTTAAAGATCATCTGAATTAAGTATTGAATAAGAAAGGTTACTTGACAGATGAGCTATTACCTTTACTATAAATAACAAGTATATTACAATTAGTGTTAAGTCACAGTTCAATCTTCAAGAAACCTATTAATTCAAAAAATATGGATAAAAGACAGGTTTAATTTCAGGGATAAAATGTTTTTTACTTTTTACTAAATTATGTTGTTGTTTGCTTACATGTTATGATATTTTGCACGAATTTATGCTTGATGAATATGGCGAATTTCAGAGATGTGACGTCTTCATTAGCCTACATGGTGCAGAAAAGTAGGACGTAAAACTCCATTCATTTCATTTCATTTTTCAGAGATGTGAAAGAAGTGTAAATTCCGGCTTAAGTAAATGCCAAATAGATTCAAGAAGAATACAAGAAGATTGTATGAAGGCGTTAGATCCTATTTCTATGGCCAGTAAAACAGTTACAGATACTGTTTCTAAAGGTGTCAATGGTTTCGTCAACGGTATATCAAGAGTATTTGGTAAAAGACGTCGACGAAGAAGATCGTGTTCTACAAATAACTGCCCTGTATTGCTTAAAAGGTATGCTTCAAATACCATCTTATTTCACAAAATATCTCCATTAAACCTATGAAACCACCAGTCTTAAGGTAAACTACTAGTAATAAAACAGTATCGAAACGTATTGTACACCGAAACTACTTGGTACAATGACGTTGAAGCTCTTTCTAGACTTTGGTTGTGGACAAATTTTATTTGCACCCTTGATTTCACTTTTGAATGCCATAAATATATGATTTATTGCAGCATAAAAATACAATTTTTTTGTATACTAGATAATAGTTTTTATAATTGAAAATAATCAAATTGTGTTCTGTTATTTGATATTTATATATAATTTGGCAGACTATTAATATTTTGTTTTTTCAAGATTGAGGCCTTTATTACCTCTGAATTTTAAACGTTGGTTAACAGAAACAATTGTATTGTATATATTCAGGAGTAAACGTGGTGTTCTTGGTAAAGTCTGTGATGTATTCACTGTTGGTGATACGATCTGTGGTGGATTTAAGAACCTCGGAGTTTGTAATATTGTCACGATACCTGGAAATTTGGTTTCAGGAATATTTAATGGTATCAGATCTGTTATAGATGCTTACTCTAATTTATTTGAAGTTGGTGTCAGAAATTCGGGGAATATAGATAGCAATGCCAATTCTTCGCAATCTGCTGCCCAGATTGTTGATAATATAAGATCTGAGTTGACAGACAAGTTAGACATGGCCACATATTTTATTACAATATTAACACGTATCATGTCAACATCTATTGTCTTGTTGATTATCAATGCTTTTCTTTATGATAAGCGCTATAAGTCTAAGCTTTCATTTGATAACCTTTATATAACGCGATACTTTAAAGAAATTGATGGTAAGAGGAGAGCTGAGCACAAGAAATCTATTCTTCCACTCAAAAAGAACGAGAGAAAAATGTATACAGACACCAGAGCTATTAAATTGTCAGTAGCAGAAAAGGGTAAATGTAAGATGGGAATAGCCCAAGTTCTGTTACATTCCGTCATTACGATCATGGTGATATTATTTGACTATCTTCTACATTTTACTCTATATCTTCTCAACAAACATGGTGACGTTCGCCTAACGTTTACTGGTGAATCAAATGTCAATATTCAGATTACAGGTTCTGGACTGATGGCTCAGTTATTTAAAATATTAGCCAATGATATATCTATAGCACAAGCGTATAATTCTACAATAAATATAGATGTCTGTCTACCACAACCTACAGAACCAGATCAATCTCAGATTTACTTATTTGCTGTCTTGTATGTTGTTGCTTTGTTTTTTGTCATAATGCAGGGTTATGGACAAAGACTGCTTCATGCCATTGCTGCTTATTTCTACCCAGAGCGAGAACAACAAAGAGTCAATTATCTCTATCGTAAAATACTTGTTAAGAGGAAAACATTTATTTTGGAAGCAAAACAACTTATATTGTCCAATACTGTTGATGATGAACGGAAATCAAGCTCCAAATTACCGAAATGTTTTAAAAGATTACCATGTTGTAGAAACAATTCTGTTCAGACTTGTACAAATTGTGAGGACGTTATAGAAAATATTATGCCATGTAAGAATAAAGACTGTCAGGCTGTATATTGTGAGGAATGTTTTACGGAATTAGGTCGCAATTGTCCTCTGTGTTCTGGAAGCCATGAAAATGATATAGAGGAAGTTATGGCCCTTGATAATAACATTGAGTTAAAAGGGGATAAAAACAGTTTCGAGTAAGCATATTCATCTACCACTGATATTAGTAATGTTAATATGACTCATTTTGTTATGATATGACATGTGAATGTATATAATAAAATATCTCACAAAGTATTTTTTTAAAACTATTTTAAGTAGTTCATTGACATAGACGGGTGCTCACTAACCGGAAGGTTCATTCCTGTTGGAGAAAGGTCAGAAAAGCGTCAAAGTCATTCTGAGTCATAACCTGAGACTCCAGTGGCTTGCAACAGTGAAAGTTTTTTGTGATATTTATCAGAAAAACTGAAGAAAACTGTTGTCATAATCAGAAGCACTTAAAGAAATAGATATGATGGTTTTTTTCTAATTTTATATCAGAACTCCAAGACACTTACAATAATGTAATTATTAGTAAAACATAAGGAGAAGGCAACATGGTTTGGTCCAAAGCTCATTCCGAAGCCAACAAATTAGATGGGGTAAAGACATGACAATAGTGTCGACATTCTTTTTTCTGGCGAGTTTGTATGTATAGGATACAACACGGCAACAGGTTTATATGATAGATATCTAAAACTCCACATCTCGAGTGAAAGGATTTAAGTACCATCTTTTTTATTATTTAAGTATCAAAGATAATGTGTAGCGAAAGTGTTTCTTCCTTTTGTCAGAAAACCTCTCATCTCAAGAATGTTGTATATTGAGAAACAAACAAGAGCCTATTGATTAACTCCAGTAGACTCTAAGGGCCATATGCAGCGCTCGTGCTTTACCTAAACTTTGACTAAAGTTAGACTTAAGTCGAACTTTAGATATGCACCGGTCGATCTTTACGAGAGTCGTGCTTAAATTTGACTATCAAATGTAGGAAATGAAAGCCTTAATCTTAACTTTGTAAAGTTAAGGTAAGAGCGCTGCATACGGCGCTAAGAGTTGGAGTTGTGTTCGTTTTATTCATACGCTTTTATTATACTTCTCTAGTCAGTTGCATGATCTCCCTTTTGATATTGGAGATATTGGTTATGTAAGACTCTCCAAAGTTTCAAAGTCTTTTAAAGAGGAAGTCTAGCTCACTGGTTGATGTGACCATTTCATTTTCATTGACATACCATTTTACATTAAGAAATACTTTCTCACTTATAGTTGATATACTTCCTCAAGTGAAAAGTTCATTAGCTGATACCAATGTTTCGCCAAAATGTTGTTTTGTTTGTCGTTTTGCGGTAGGATCGATAGTACTTGATTCATTTATTCAACAACAACAATAACAACAACAAAAAACAGAAAGGAGTCCTTGTCGATTTATAAGTCCTATAAAAAACATTCTCTGGGATTGTTATGATATTGAAAACCCTTTCCCTCGAGATTTTAATTATTACAAAAAACCCTGTTTGATACCATGACAGTTTTTATGGTAAGGTAAAATGGTAAGTAATGTGTGACAGTACACCTGAAGGGCCATGCCCTTTCAAGCGTAGATGAATAGATGCCATCCTAGCTCAGGGTGATATGAATTTATATAAAGACTGCTTCGAACAAAGGTATGCTCCAATGCCAAAGTAAACCATGTTAAAGGGTTAAACCGGTTTATTTTTAACGTGGAGAATTACGCTACTTATGCGAGAAACTATATCTAAACCCTTTATGTAATTTCTATAAAATTTACCTGGCCACAGAGGAATCGTTTAAAATATCAAAGTTTCCTATAATTGTTTTCTCGTGCATGGTTTCCTAGTTTCTGGGAAAGGGAACGGACATGCGCATTTGTTTACAAATGGCGACGAATTTTCGATCAGAAACGTCAGGCGGACGAGGCATCGATTTTGGGGGTCGATCTTTTCATCAAAGACCATATAATAACTACAATTCTGGTTATGGTAGAGGATATAATAGTTGTAATCCACAACTCCCATGACTTGGTAAACTGAAGTAAATGATCTTAAAGCGGGTAGATTATAGTTTTTTTTACTAAAAATTGAAAGGCTTTGATATTTCTCAGCATTGCCAAATTGAATTTACATCCGATTTTAGTTATATTCAGATGAAAAAAAAATCATCAACCAAAATTGAAGAGTCTGTCATTGATAAAGAAATTGGAAATCTTTTAGATATGGAAGTTATCATTTGATGTAACTGGCCAATATGGTTCTGAAGAGTTTTTGTCCTCCATATTTGTATTTCCTAAGAAATATGGAGCGTATCGCACGATTATGAATTTGAAACATTTAAATCCATAGGTTCAATATCATCATTTCAAGGCGAATACATTTTAGTGTACACTTAATCATGGCCTCTACTATTATAAATTTGTCTCATATCACTGTCACAAAAAACTTTATTTAGAGCAAGAATGCTCCATTAGATCTGTCTTGGTCAACGTTTTACTTCCCTAGAGCATAACCATGTACATTATAGTTATATAAGGAAAGGATAACATAGTTGCTTTGCAAATGTCAAAACAGATCATAAGATTATCATGTAAATCTCAACCCAGGTACGAGTTAACTTGTTCTTTTACAACACGATATAACAAATGATGAAAATATTAATATTCCTAGAGTGTTGTTTAATTAGAAACATATAGATTTTGTCAAGTCTGAAATTCGCCTGGGTACTTTATTCAGTGAATTTCGATTTGCATATTCGTTTCTTAAATACAGATCATTTAAAACATATTGTATGCCTTTATATGGGTATGAATTATTAGATTATTCACGTAAGTCAATAGATAAATTGTATTGTTCATGGAGAAAAAGCATAAAAATACAGTGGCTCACAGCAATTTGCTAAATCTGATATGTTTCCATTATTCTATATCTCTAAATCTCATTTCATATAAATATAATATCAACATGTATGACATTGGTAAACTGGTTGTACAAACTATTCTGAATAAATGAATAAAAGTCAATACTATTGATGAAGATACAAATAAAACTGCAATAGAGATTATAGTATATTGTGTAATATTGATAAAAGCAATTTAAATGAAATTATTTATTATTTATCCACACAATAGTATACATTTATTTACATTTCTAATATGTATTTTATTAGTTTATTTTTTATTTTTTTTTTGTAATGTGTACTTATTTTGCGAAATAAATAATATTTGTTTTATTTTATTATGTTTATTTGTCATTTGTATAAATGACCAATTCAATTTCAATACTGTCTTTTAGTTAACAATGGATATCAAACTAGCTAAGTCAGTATCCTGCTGAGCAACTGTAAAATAACTAATTATTAATACTAATGATAATCTAATTCATGTGTATCTACAACAACAAAATATTAGGTCACTAGTAGATTATATACCAATGTTAAAAAAGTTAAATAATGGTGACATTATATAACGCTTAAGTGTTATAATTATTTATTTGAGAATTTCTCTTCCTGATGAGAGTTTTGTAACATGCCTTTTTTAATGTAGTAGATACAATTTCAAATCTACAATAACAATTGCAAGTGCTAACCGTATTCTCTGAATGAATGGGTACTTTTCATAAATACAAAATTTTAACCTGAAATAGAGTCCACAAATTTTGTGGTGTTTATGTAAATTAATAATAAGGCAAAGAAATATCTAAATATATATAAAATATACAAGCATATCAACTTTGATTAAGATCGGATAAATACTGTGTTCTTTGTTCTGTCTACAAGCCAAATTTGACGCATATTTACTTAATTAATGAGCAATAACTCTTAAAATCCAGTAACTGAGATCGGATGAAAAATGTTGCCTCCTTCGTGTATACAAAAAAAAAAATTTGACGGACAGACAGAGGCAATATCCATCCACATTTACATGTGGGCGTATAAAAATGTATGACAATGCATTTTTTAAAAATGAATATAGCATTGACCTGAATTTATTCAACTTGTTCAGAAAATTAATATGTCAGATCCTTATATGTACATACAATAAATTACATATTATTACAGATCAGCCATTAAAATCATCAATTGGAATACACGTGTTTTAATCGTTGGGTCTGATGAAAAAGATTCAGAGATGGCGGTTGCTGTATAAAAAACATTACTGGTATTCATTAGCTACCATTTTGAGACCTTCAGTTGTTGTATTTAGTTAAAAGACATCTGTAAGTAACTTAGTTAATGCTAGGTTTTTCTATAGAAACTATTTTAAAGGAATGGACATAGAATTGAAAGTCTCGAACTTGGTCAATGGGATCAATATTCATCAGTTTAACTTACCAGGGATAGAATCTCTATACAAGTAAATATATTCATTAAACTAAGTATATATTGAAAACCGCTTTTAATGATTTGATTTAAATAATGGGCGCAAAAAAGCCCTTGGCCATTAAGTCTGACTTAACATTTTCAAGCGCCTTAAGTATATTTTCCCTCACACACTGTTTTATTTGAGCACACGTCTGTTCACAATTACACAGTTCGCGTTTTTTTTTATTGAAAGTGCAGGTTTCAACAAGAGTAACGGCGACATCTTTTGATTTTTGAGATGATTGGACAAAATTTCAAACCAACAAAAGTTTTGAAAACAGATTTTATACTTTATTATTGTAGAAAATGAGTTATGAAGCTATATACGACTACACACCACTAAACCAAGGAGACATTGCTGTCAGAGTTGGTGATAAAATACATCATATAAAAGATGTTGGATGTGGCTGGGTGATAGGTAACGATATCACGACTGGTGAAACAGGTCATTTCCCAGCAGAATATGTCAAGGCAGTAACATCTTGGCGCAAATCATTTTCTATAATAAGATCTGTGAAACAAAGGAATACTGATCCTGAAAATAAACAGACCAAGAATGAATCCAAAATAAATAACCATTCCATGATCAAAAATAATATTTCTTTTAATAAGAAAGATGAAACTCTTGGAGAAATAAAAATATCCGATAATCTGAAATCTATGAATTCAGAATCTCGACCGATGAAAAGATGGAGAAAGAACTATTGAAATATTCTGATGGTAAAAACAGTCGATTAAAAGCATTATTTGGAGTTCTTGCTGGTATTGTATTAGGTGCTGCTATCTTTCTGGCTATGTACTATAGTTTCCATTATGATATATTGGTATCATCTATTATAACAGGCGTATCAACCATTCTACTAGCTATAGGTCTTGCAATATCTACAAGATGCAGATGTATTGTGTTGCTGGTATTTCCTAGTCTAGCTACTGGCAAAGGTAGAGCAGCTTTCTTGTTTATTATAACTGGCTTGTTATTAATGGGACCTATTACTAATATTACCAATAACTCGAGCCAAGTTGCTATCAGTATGGCTTGTATAACAGAGTTAGCTTATAATCAAAGTCAAGCCCTGCAGGATAGACTACAAGAACCAGTCAGATCATTACGGGAACAGATCCAGAGAGGAGTCAGTGAAGTAACAAAATATGGTGAAGAACTAGATAAAGCATTTAAGGTATTGGAAGATGGAATTGACAAAGCAGAAAAAACAGCCAGTATTGCTCTCGACACTGTGAAGGATTTAAAAAATGTAAGTTATTAAGTATCTTAAAGCCCTGTGTTCGCCATTATTGTGGATCGATTTTTTTTTTGAATATGGAAATCACATACTTCCTTCAAAAACAATTCAAACTAGAAATTTTAACTTTTCTACATTCTACATATTTCTACATATCAAGAAAAGACGAGCCGTCATTTCACTTTCAAACGGGGATAATTCACTTATGGATTTGAAGGTTCAAAGAGAGACGAATCACAGACGTTCCTAGAGCGATCGATGAGGCCCGATAGAGACCTGCTTCTCATCGCCAGTGAGGAATTTTCCTACGTTGTTCGACCGAGAGTGGCCACAGTCGGCTTCCATACTCGAGTGAGGGTCGTGCGTATTTTGGCAGAGTATGAGCACCCGATCCTCGACAAATCCTCGCCTGTGTCCCAAAAGTGCCCATTAGTACCTGACCACTCCTGCAGGTAGCCGACCTCCGTGGTTACTTTTGCCAAAATATCCTGCTGCTCCTTGCGTCAACATACGCCTACATCCAACCACTGTCGTGCAAAGAAAGTCCGTTATCGGCCGCTAAGCGGTCGAAAAGGTTCTCTCTCGAGCCGGGATCGTCAATTCGCGTACCAGAAACGAGTCTATCGTGCGAAGAACATCCGTGATTGTTCCTAACCATGCCATTGTCCATCGGTCGGTATTCAATCGGGGCGATTCCTAACGATCATGGTAGATTCGGGACGATAAGAGGCGTTTCAGGACGACGATCCGACCGAAAATTTAATGAAAAAAACATTAGCCGGTCGCCCTTCCCTCGGAGGACTGAGTCCATCGCTCCAAATCTCCCCCCGAATGTATAGGGCAGTGCTCGTTAATGCTTGTATCTTGACTTAATTTGTTATTGTCGCTTGCATTGTCTTCATAACAAATTACATTATATTATATAATGGGACTTTAACTCTCATAGTTTAGTGAAAAGAAGCCCGACATATCTGGCTTTTGAAAATTTTCAAAAATAGCGATCAAATTTGATCGGAGCAACAAACATAAGTTGTTGTCTGGCCCATCCGTATATCACGCCCGAGGAACGAATGATTTGTCGGGCTTGTAGTATAGAAATGAAACAAAAGTTGAATTAAACCGATTTTAGATCTTAACTATGTTGGTTGAGGTGTTATGACATTTTGCCTGAATCCAAAGCTTAATGAATGTGACGAATTTCAGAAATGTGAAGGAAGAGTAAATTCTGGTTTTAGTAAATGCCAAAGAGATTCAAGAAGAATACAAGCAGATTGTAAGAAGGTGTTAGATCCTATTTCAGATACTGTTTCAAAAGGTGTCAATGGTTTCGTCAGAGGTGTATCTAGAGTATTTGGTAAAAGACGTCGACGAAGAAGATCGTTTTATTCAAGTACCCGTCCTACACTGCTTAAAAGGTATACTTCAAATACAGGATACAAAATTCTAAGTACTACCTTACATGATTATATGTAGTTTATCTGAAGAAAACTTAAGGAAGAAACGGGTCTTAAAGAAGAAACTAGGAGTAATACAATCGTAACGAAACAACTTGTATCCCGAAACGACTGGATACATCAATCTCATATCTGTTTCTAGCCTTTGTGTGTGTTTCGGGGACAGTTCTCTTCCAAGTGCAGTGGCGGTGCCAGAAGGGATACAGAGGGTGCTAGAAAAATAGCTTTCAATCACACACACACACACACATACTCACACATCTTTTCTAATAAATTTACTAATGTGATTTTTATTTCAGGAGAAAACGTGGTGTCTGTGATGTATTTAATGTGGGTGATACGATCTGTGGTGGATTTAAGTACCTCGGAGTTTGTAATGTTGTCACGATACCTGGAAATTTGGTTTCAGGAATATTTAATGGTATCAGATCTGTTATAGATGCTTACTCTAATTTATTTGAAGTTGGTGTCAGAAATTCGGGGAATATAGATAGCAATGCCAATTCTTCGCAATCTGCTGCCCAGATTGTTGATAATGTAAGATCTGAGTTGACAGACAAGTTAGACATGGCCACATATTTTATTACAATATTAACACGTATCATGTCAACATCTATTGTCTTGTTGATTATCAATGCTTTTCTTTATGATAAGCGCTATAAGTCTAAGCTTTCATTTGATAACCTTTATATAACGCGATACTTTAAAGAAATTGATGGTAAGAGGAGAGCTGAGCACAAGAAATCTATTCTTCCACTCAAAAAGAACGAGAGAAAAATGTATACAGACACCAGAGCTATTAAATTGTCAGTAGCAGAAAAGGTTAAATGTAAGATGGGAATAGCCCAAGTTCTGTTACATTCCGTCATTACGATCATGGTGATATTATTTGACTATCTTCTACATTTTACTCTATATCTTCTCAACAAACATGGTGACGTTCGCCTAACGTTTACTGGTGAATCAAATGTCAATATTCAGATTACAGGTTCTGGACTGATGGCTCAGTTATTTAAAATATTAGCCAATGATATATCTATAGCACAAGCGTATAATTCTACAATAAATATAGATGTCTGTCTACCACAACCTACAGAACCAGATCAATCTCAGATTTTCTTATTTGCTGTCTTGTATGTTGTTGCTTTGTTTTTTGTCATAATGCAGGGTTATGGACAAAGACTGCTTCATGCCATTGCTGCTTATTTCTACCCAGAGCGAGAACAACAAAGAGTCAATTATCTCTATCGTAAAATACTTGTTAAGAGGAAAACATTTATTTTGGAAGCAAAACAACTTATATTGTCCAATACTGTTGATGATGAACGGAAATCAAGCTCCAAATTACCGAAATGTTTTAAAAGATTACCATGTTGTAGAAACAATTCTGTTCAGACTTGTACAAATTGTGAGGAGCATTTGTGAGTATCAGTCAACTTGATGTACAGTTTATTGCATATATTTATTTTTTTAAAAACAATTCCGTTAAATCTCGTCTGAAGGAAATATTGATTAACAGGAACCAAAAACAAGGTTTTACTTACGCAAAGTAATCCACCAATTTACGTAATAAATAATGTTTGTGTGATGATTTTTGTTATTATATTAGATGTGTATGTATATATAATAAAATATCTCTTGAACTTTGATTTTTTTTAGTTGCGATCTAGCAATGTCGTTGGTTATTATGGTTGTTATTGCCAGAATTCCATTCCTTTGGCGGAAACAAACGAACAACCCGAACACGGGTTTATATTGAAAGGCGATATCGGTACAATGTATTGCAAAATTTAATTTAAATAATAATAATAGTGATGTATGAAGTAACCATCAGGGCAAAACAAAATTAAAGCTTAAAGCAACATTGTAAGTTAACTGAAGACTTACAGATATAATATGTATGAGATATATACACATATTATTATAATTATTTGTAAAACATTTTTACAAGAAGAAAGTAAAAGGTAATCGCCCATAGACAACAAAATCGACAAGGTTGATATGAAAGGAGCTTTTGAAATATCCACAAATAAAAGTTTGCTATCAAGGAAGAATCTCTTACCAAGAAGACAAGCACCCGAAAAATTGATACAGTAAAAATGCTCAAAACACATGCCAAAAAGAAATCATATATTGTATTGTATATTGTTGTCTTCTGTTTAGGTATTCTATACCTCGAAGTAATTTAACTTGTAGCTTCTTCATACGTCGGTGGATATGAGCAACTAACATTATTCCCCATGTATGTTGGTGATGGTGATCTACTACCAATAAGAGGTGTGGTTTCCCCATCAGCAATAGAAAATGTAGGTCTGCTACGATTCCTTCTTTGAACTTTATTAACAGGATCCTTACATGTAAAGAATACTATGATCGTGAGAATAAGTCCAAGACATCCTGGCATTGCAGCAAATATAATTACATAAAACACTAACCTTGCTTTACAAGTACTTGTTATAACAGTGTCACTAGAATCCATGAATGGTTTAAGATGATAAGCCACTTGTTCTGAAGACGCGAAATCGACCCGAATATGACAATGTCTTGTATTTGAACATAATTTTGAGGCTTTGTTTACGTCATAAAGGTAGCGATTGATATGAATTTTAGTTGTAAGCCATGCACTTACATTTCTGTTAATAAATACAAAGTAATAAGTGTCAGTTTCGGAAACGGTCAAAGTAAACTTATCATAATCTAAGAAACAGCCATTAATTTTGACAGCCATCTTATAAATATAACACGACAAGCAATCTGGATTTGACTTCCATCTCTTAAAGTTGTGCTCTCCGGCTAGAACATAAAAGTCCATCAATTGATGTGTACAACTTACGATTTGAACTTGAGACCATTGTAATAAATAATAATGATAATATTTGATATCACCGTGTTCAACATAGCTTGAATATTCCTTCTTAAATAACTCGGCGCGAGATCTATTAATGGGTAGATCTCCTGCAAAACGATAGGCATCAAACTTTTCATCCGACTTTAAAACCAGTTTCTCACAAAATAAAGTGGAGTATTTTTCAGTGATGATTTCCATATCTGTTGGTGCTGAAGAGAATTTGTTAACTCCGTAAACACCTACTCCAACACCCATACCAATACTGAGCGAAACCAACAATATCCAAACCCATAGTATTTCTATCCTTTTATATCTACTCATTCTGTTATAACAGAAAATATAGCCCCATATTGTACAGCTACTACATACCCAATGACCACAATATTCATCTAAATTGATAGGAGAAACATCATAATCATTTCCTTTATAAACAGGTATACTGATACGAACTGGTCTGGTACAGTCTGAACCTTCAGTACTCTGAATACTTGATGATGTCACTGATGGCGAATCTGGTTCGACAGTGTCTCTTTCCATCGTTTCTACAAATATATGCAACATACACTGAATCACAAATTGCATTTTTTGATGAGTTTACATAGAAAATTTGTCAAAGGGAAATGTTATTTTCAGATGCCAATCGTTTGATAAGAAAGATGGAGACGGTAGGAACTTACATAATATTTTATCTATCAGTTGGCTCTGAATTATTATTATTCCTCACAACCTTTAGCCATTTAAAGTTTTGTATTTGATTTTCTCACACGGTATTTCCTCAAAATGAAGTCATCTATTCCTAGAAATCATTTTCCACGAAATTAATCTATTTTGATACATTTTCAATACACTGTTTGTTCAGGGGCAGTTTGCAGCTAGAAAGAGGAAAAGAATAATTTGAATTGAGATGACAAATGTTATTGTAAATACAATCTATAACTCTTATCACGATTGAATACTTTATATCTCCATCATTATCACTGTTCAATGTCCATATGATAATTCGTATAAATAATAGTATTGAGGTATCTCACTGACAATGATACTGCAGTTAAACCACATGGTTATAAGAAATAAAATTGAAATCAACCTAGATACTATAATTAGTCAATATATTCAAAATTCAGATCTAAATGTTTCGTTCATTTTTTTCTGTTTGTAAATACTCTGATCCAACAAACAAAAATCTTCTTTTAAGTAGTGGTCTGTGTAATTTTGACCTTATTGTGTCGAAAGTTGTCATTAATCATTCTAGTCCAAATAAAATTAATAATAGTAATTTTGATCATAAACTCGTGGAATGATTTCAATGGGAACACCTCTGGATGACTTGTGTTTCAATTAATGATCCGTAATCAACCACGTGAAAGGTCAATAATGATACAGCAGCTGTAATGATGCTCGGTAAATGAGACATGTAAAAATGTATATATAGAAGGATTATGATATGATCCCTAAGAGATTACACTGCAGCTGTAGGAATATAACCATATCAATACGACGCATAATAATTTGGGGTTTTGTATGTATTTGTAAGTCAATATTAATTGTGTAGAGTTGTGAAAGTAGAAAAGAAATACTAAATTGTATTGTGTTGTATTATTGTTTACTAAATGAATACAATATTTTAAAATCAATTACGTGTATTTGTGTCTCATATTATTGTTAGACGTGTGAAATAAAGACACAGAAAGAACTCATTAAAAGGGATACAACTCTGTATAGTTCAACACTCGCGAATAGGATAAAGCGACAAACCGTATAAACCGGGGAAATTTTTTGAGTTTTCCTGTATGAATACAAAATACCTGATTACATCATGATCCTACACACTTTTAGTGAAGTGTACACCATTGCCCCTCCGGATATGAATGAATGAATGAAAAATTTATTGCATTAGCATAAACATGTGATAACACAATGCTTTAGCATGATATCAATATACATAATAATGTACATAATATTGTAAAACAATATAAAGGCATCAAGTTTTAAGTTAATTAATGAATAACGTAAATCCTGCTCATGCGACCACCTTTACATAGATAAATATATTTGATTGAAAAAATGTTTAAATGACATAATGAGATATATGTATATATATATGTGAGGTGTATTACATAATCCTCCAAAAAAAGGTTCATCCAAACTATTTACAAGGGGTTACAGATCTCATGTTCAGTCCAGTCACGAGATGGCTTTGAACCGGGGACAATTTTTATGGATTACCCAAATATGCATTGAGTTTAATTTTCGTCAGATGGTTGCTTTTAAAATGATGTAAAACATGTGTTTCTGAGGTTGGTGAAAGCTTTTCCAAATCTCTTGACTTATTTTGGAAAACTCAAATGGCTTAATGTATCAACATAAACTGAAATATTGTCAACATAGAGCACACAATTTTTTCTCTGTCATGGAACTCTTTATTTTTTCCTATCCCATGTACTAATTCCAGATGCTCCTCAATTACCTTCCATCGTTACTTCAAATACCTGTAAAGGAAGATGTTAAAAGATATAGAAGAATATTGTCAGTTATGGCTGATGGCAAGCCTAGAGCTGTTTGACTTACAGTGTAGCACTCTCTCTGTCTGGATGTCCCACTTACCATCCACACCTTATACCCTTTTTTGTACATCAGTTTTTTATCAACTATTACTGATATCCTCGGCTACAATTCACTATCTGGGTATGATTCCACACCTTCCTTTACTTGGATTGGAATTCATGCATGGGGTAGGTCAAGATAGAGGGTTCCATGACACAGAAAACATTTTGTGCAAGCTCTATTTTGACAATATTTCAACTTATGTGAATGAATTGAGACATTTGATTTTAGAAAAAAATCATTACGATTTAGACAAGTTGGCATCAACCTACACCAACCTGAGAATCAGTATTTACATTACTTTCAAAGCAATCATCAGGCCAAATTTGAAATAGACTCAATGTCAATGTGAATAATCCACCCTTTCTGCATGCAGTTGATTACCTTTAACAGTACTAAAAGAAGTGTGCTAGTGCAGCTTGCAAGTATGCAAAGTTAAATCAGTTCCGTTCACTAGCATTTTATTGTGGAGGTGAATGATTCAATCTGGTTTTTGATTAGTTTAAGTAAAGGCAAGAATAGAATAGATCTCAAATCCGCAGATGACATTGCACGAATTTGCATGAATTAATGAAAATGTTAACGGTAGCATCTAACTGACGTCTCTCACATGCTTGTCATCGAACTTTTGCAATTTCCATGTATTTATAATCATTTATTACCGATTCCAATGGTTTGTACAGGTGGTTACCATGGAAACACATTTTTATGACATATTTGGTATCACCAAAACGCATAAATGATGTAATAACATGTAGAATCCTTATTTGCATCAATTAGACTTCAAATTACTTATAGAAAGCTAAGATTACAAGTAAATAAGCTCGTTTTTTGAACTATTATGAAATATATGGTTACTATAGCAACGGGAGGTTATGATCTTGGCAACCCCCTAACTCTCACCAGTGGACCCTAATCAATATCTTAGACATAGTTGCTTGCCTGAAACAAGACTTTGCCGTGAATTTTTTTTCTGGGCTGTTTATTTAATTTGGTTGGCTGATTAACAGTAGCAAAAAAATGGGACATGCCAATGAAATAAATGTATATGATCTGAAAAATAAAAGAGAAGAAAATGAATTTGGCATTAGTGTAATTGGGCATAGGCATGAATTGGTTGTATCTCATGATTTTGACCATTGTAGTATTGTGCGCGAAACAGACCATGTTTACTCTTTTCTAAACACCCGATAGTACTTCTCTTTGGAGGAGTCAACTACTACACTACCTTTACTCACAATTTTGCCATTCGTCTTGCTTGTACGGATATTTATGGGAAGGGCTAAATTTATTCAAAGTATTTCATGTTTTCAGCTGAAGGAAAGAAAAAGAGAAATATAGTCGGAGGTTTTTTTACACAGATGTTACAGCAAATATCACTCATTGAATACTTCACGTTGTTGTCAGTCTTACCCAACTAGGAGTTTAAGTATAAATTTCGTGCAGTGAGTCATATGGAGATTCAATATATGATGACCATGAAAATTTTGAGAAAGTAAAATTGAAAATAGACTACTACCGACTAGAGTTTGGCAGTTCACAAAACGACTATTTTTAGATTTCGGGGAAGGGAGGGTTTGATTCTCCCAAATGTACAGGCCTAGGGTGGAGCAGACACTTTATTTAGAAATTAGGATTAAGGGTCTTGATATTGGGTTTTCTTCTGTTCTTATTCTGATCTGAAATTAGAAAAAATAACTCGCCCGATGGGCGAGAAGTATAGTATCTGATATGTACTGATTGTTTTTAGTTTATTATGAACAATATTATCATTTAAGTTCTTATTTTTTGAATATGCAAATATCATCTTCTGCTTATAGACATGGGGGAATTTCTCTTGAAGGCTCTTATAGTAGGCATGAACCATCTTGCTTGCTCGATTGCTGGTTGTATTAAACGGGACAACAAAGGGTGCTATGCCTACATTATGATGAATATTTAGTCCTATAGGTCTTGCTGTATTCAATGTCTCAATCCAATGGGCTTCCCTAGATTGAGGGAATTTGGTAGTTTCATCTTCGGGCAAGTCAATTTCTATACGCTCAATTGGGATTTGGGCGAGATCGTCTATTGAATGGTCGTCGAGGTTGAAATGATTAGAAACAGGCTTGTCTTTCTTTAATTTGACATCTGACCTATGAGCATTAAAGCGAGTTCGTAAATTATTCTTAGTTTCTCCTACATATTGTTTGGGGCATTTCTTGCATGAAATTAAATATATTACATTCGAATGTTCACATGTTAGATTTTCCTGGATCGGGTACCTTTTATTCGTAGAGTTGCTTACAAAATAATGAGTTTCTGATATAAAGGGACATGTTTTGCATCTACTAGACAAACATGGAGCACTTCTTAAACCTGGAGGTACTTCGGCATAAAGTCTGTTTTTAGCTGCTATCTGTGCTAAGGTGGAATTTTTTATGTTTCGTAAAAATCGTTTACAGTACCCACGCTCTTTCAGTTTTGAGAAAACAATCGTACAGTCTTGGTTGAAATCAGAAGATCTTGTACAAATTCGATGAATTCGACTTAATTATACCAGAAAAGGTATGTTTTGGGTGAAAAGAGCTCTTGTGCAAGAGTTGATGAGTATCAGTTTCTTTGAAATACACTTTAATATCCAGTTTATTTGTTTCTGCTATGGAATCTCCCTTAAAGACAGTGGTATCGAGAAAGTCTATGCTTTTGTTATTCACGTTTGCGGTTAGTTTGATAGAAGGATGGTGGTTGTTGAGAATTTCAAAGAATTCCCAAAACTGTTCGATAGAATAAGTCCGAACCATAAAAATGTCATCCAAAAAGCGTCCGTAAAAAAGTGGGTCAAATTGACAGATGGGCAATACCTCACGTTCCCACTCTGCCATGAAAAGGTTTGCGTACGAAGGGGCGAATCGTTTGCCCATTGCTGTCCCTGAAGTTTGTAAATATGTTTT